GTGTATAACATACCATTAAAAATAGGTAAACTGTGCTTGGGTGCTTTACGTATATATATACGGGCAGTCCCCAGGCATAGTGCCTAAGTGCTAACCAGAAAGCTGGCGGTTCAAACCCACCAGCCACTCCTCGGAAGGAAGGTTGGGCGATCTGCTTCTGTAGTGATACTGCGTCAGAAACCCAAAGAGGGGTCGCTAACAACACAACAAAGAGCAAATAGGAGTTGTTTGTACCTGGGGACTACCTGTATACTCAAGATAGTAATGAAATATTTTAAACCCGCATTTCCTTAGTTTTCAGACCTGTTGCCTTGGTTCTGAGGCACATTATTTGCACCTTTGCTAGCATCTGAAATCAAAGATATCTTAGAGTGCATCTGAAGTGGTAGTCTGTCACTGATTGTTGGCACCTCACAAATGAGGAAGTCTGGTACTGTGCCCATTTTAACTCATTCATATTTAATGTCTTTAAAGGATATTGTTTTAATGGCTCATATGCTTAACCCAAGTGTCCTCACACTTTTGGGTTATCTCCTTTACTAGGGTGCCATATTTTAGACACAGCTAAATGTTAGGCTCAGGTATTGTAAAGAAAGAGGAAGACAAATGGCATGATAACCATTTCCTAGGGAATAAACTCTGAAATTAAAGGCTATTTCCACAAACCATTTTGAGCATATTTGTTTTCTTCGTGGTTGAATGAAAGGGAAAAAAGCAGATAGCAAATCACATAATTTTTGCCTTGGAATGTTATTTTTTATGCTACTTTCTAGCCCATGCATCTGTGAAGGAAACCTAGTTAGCAATAAAAATGGGATGAAAATTAATTATAGATTATGGATGGGTTGATATTTTACCTAAGTATTTGCAGTCAGTAATGTTTAATAGGAGCTCTGGTAGCATAGTGCTAAGGCATTTGAGTGCTAACCAGAAGGTTGGTGGTTCAAACCTACCAGCTGCCATTCAGAAGGAAGGTGGGGTAATCTACTTCTGTAGTGATGATGCCTTGGAAACCCAAGGAGGGGTCGCTGTGAGTTGGATCCAACTTGACAGCAGTGAGTGAGTGATGAAAATGTTTAATATGTCTGGGAAATCTAGTCCTCTGTTTTTGGGGACTTGTTTTAGCAAGAAGAGTCCATGTTGTTCAATATTTATGTTTTCTCTTAAAACTTGTTATTGTTCTGGATCCATATTATGAGCCAGAGAAAAAGTTTTAAAAAATAAGAATTCTGGTTTCATAAAGGGTCAAGGTAACTATCAAAATGGAAATACCTACTCTGAGACTATGTACCTGACTTCTTATCTATCCCAAATGCCCTCTGACTTTCGGAAAAGGCCTGTTGCTGTGTGTGGGCTTCTGTCCTCTACCACTTCACCACTGATGCCAGGCAGCAGAGAGGGAGGAATAGTCTACAGACGTAGTCAACATTATTACCTAGAGTAATTACATTAAAATATAACAGATGTCTATTAAGAAAACAGAAAAAGCTCATCTTTCTTGGCTGTTTTGCCCTACATATTTAGATTTTTTCATTTTAGAATAAATTTCTTACCAAAGTGACAGCAGAATGAAAACTAAATTTGAGCAGTGAATCCTAAAGATGCTGAAGCCACATACAGCTTTAGTACGTGGCATATCTGAGAAGTTCTGCCCCTGAACTCCAGACCAGCAAGGGTGCAGAGAATCCATGCACTCCCCAACCCTGCTCCAGGGCACCACTTCCCCCTAGTGGAACTCAATGTGATTAATGCTGTGCTTCTCACTTGCCCAGCTCAGAATTTGCTTAAGCCGCTTTCAAAAGGTTGCTGACTCTTAAAGAAATTGCTCTGTCCCTTAAGATCCTCTTCTTAGCCTTACCAGCTCAGTTTGATTTTTCTGTTGCCTACAACGTGGTGACCATTGTTTAAAAGCTTCCCTGATGCACAGCTTTGTGTCCAGGCTTTGAGACACTCAGTCACTTGGCACATTGTCCACACAGTCTCTGTGACTTGGAGTACGTGTCCACAGTGCCTTTTATTTATAAGGACTGAAAAATAATAATAACTCTAGCTTGGGAATCCTGTTGATTTTTGAGATAAAAGAGTGTAAGGAAAAGCGGTTTTGTAAAAAATTGTGGCTACACAGACTGTTTCTTCTAGATTGGTGTATGAATCAGACAAAAGCAGAGATGCTTCTGTTTGTATGCAATGCTTGTTCTAAAGTAGATTGGATACATGGTATGATAACTTATGGGAAATCTTGTCATTACCATGTTTCATACATGTATACATAATCATAATTTAGTGTGGCCCATTGATTATAGGTTTTTTTTTTTTAAACATTGCAACACCAAATTCTAATTGAATTTTTCTAGGAATAGGAAGGAGACAGGATTAAGTAAACTCTGTGGGAGTTTTTCAGAATGATGACCTAGAATACACTTAGCCAGTAGGTTATCTAGAAGGAGATGGACAGATGGACACGCAGGTAAAGAACTGAAAACCGTCACCAAAGCAAGTTTCTTGCTAAAACTTTGCCCACACTAAAGTTGCTTTGCAGTAAATGGCAGTCTTCAATAAAGAGTCCATTTGACCTGTGGGTCAGCATTTTGGTTGGTCTAATAACAGATGCTGTATTTGTTTTGTCCTCTCTCATCATGATTCATATTCACTTTTAACAATAATCATCTGTTTTCCTCTTTCATTGTCTCTCTATCTTACAAAACACACCTCACTTGACAAAGTAATACCTTGGCTTATAAAGGCGACAGATACAATTGATATTTAAAAAATTACCCATCTTTATTCTGAGAGATTTCTTACCACAAAAAAAAAAAAAAGAAAAAGAAATTGAACTAGCGTGAGGCTAAATTGTGTTACATACCCTCAAGATAGACACCTCTTGTAGGGTGAAAATAATTTAGGCCAAAACACAAAGCATCAGAACCACCTTTTTATAAAAGCACAGCACAATTGGGTAAAAGCACATAATGGTGCTTTTAACCTATTTTAAAAAGCAATTCTGTAGCTTTAAAAAGCTTTTAGCAATCTTTTAAAAGTCTTTCTGTAGTTGTAACATTTATGACAATCACAATGATTTCATGATGGATAATTTATTGTATCCTAATAACAGGCTTGTAGTATAGTGGCCTGGGTATAGAATTTAGGAATGTAGATTCTATTTTTATCTCATTACAGACTGATCTCGAGAAAATTCCCTCAGTTCTCTGTTCTTCATTTTCCTGATCTGTATAAGGAAATGTCCTCCTCTCTGGAGTAGTAAGGAAATTACCTAACTAATGAGTGTTGATTTATTTTTGCTCCACAGAGAAAGACATTACAGGGTGATTTATTAGACAGTCATGCACCGCATAACGTCCATTTGGGCAACATCCAACCACATGTATGTGTGTGGTCGCAGCCCCCATAAAGCCTATTATATTAAAAATTTGAGTTTGTAATAACAAATGGGTGATATTTTGCAACATGCATCAAAACATTATTACTATATTATGTTAAAGATGTTTTAGTGTATTTGGAATTGTTTAATTTTTTTATGCACAGAAAGGGACACTGTATTATATACTAAGACAAACATTTGACTAACTGATGTTAGATGCAAACTGTACTGAATTGTTCTGACTTATGTACGTATGTGAAGTAAAGACAGACTCAGGAATGGAACTCGTTCATTATCCAGGGACTGCCAATAAATACCATATAAATACGGTATTCACACTCTGTTCAAAGCACATAATGTCCTGTTTCACAAAACATACCGTGGACATTAAGTGATGCATGACTTTACTACCATCTTTCTTTGTAGTCTAGATCAAGACTGTAGCATCTTTGCATCCTTACATGTATTTCTGCTAATGCGTATCATTTTATAATTTCTCTAGTTTTATGTCAAACTACATTTTATATCAGTTCTAAATGAAGATACCAGTTCATATTTAAATTATGTATGTGTATGATTAAGCTAAATTTAAATGACAGATTCTTAAGGTTCTTTCCTTTTCTTAAACATTTCTTCCAGACGCTGTATCTGTTATGCTTTTCATTGAAGCAGCTAGAATACTGTTAGCAGAGCAGTCAACTCTTGATTTTGCTGTTCTTTATGTTTTGACTTAACGCTTAGCACTTACGTGTCACTGAACACTAGGCACTCTTCCAGGGACTTCACAAATACTAACAAATGTAATGCTCACCACAACCCTTTGAGGTAGATACTGTTATTAGACCCATTTTGCAGATAAGGAAACTGAAGCATATGGAGATCAAGTATCTTGCCCAAGGTCACATAGCTAGAAAGTAACAGCGCTGGATTTTTGCCCAAGGTCACACAGCTAGAAAGTGACAGAGCTGGATTCGGTGACCAGCACCCTGACCCTCGGGCTCATCCTCTTATCCCTTGTGCTGTGCTGCTGACTCTTTTGACTTTGAAAGCTTCAGAAGTCTCAGTCACCTTCACCACTCCGCCATTCTAATAGCTTATTCAAGTACTGTAGCTGGATTGATGGACTTCTGCCTACGTGCAAACCCTGACTTCTCTGTTTACTAGCTGTCTGAATTTAGACAAGTTGCTTAATCGTTCTGTGCCCCCATTTCCTTATCTGTAAAAAAGGTCTTAATAATGTACATGCTTCACAGGGCTGCTGAGGGATTCAGTGAGATGATACATGTAAAGTTCATAGAATTATGGCTGGCACATATCAACCAAACCTGCTGCCTGCTAAGTCAGTGCTGACTCAGTGTGCCCTCATGTGTTACAGAGTAGAACTGCTCTCTAGCAAGCACATCATATATGTTTGTTGCTAGTATGTCCTTTCCAGAGTTGAAAAAAGAGTTATAATTTAATGGAAACATTACACACACACTCCAAAAAAAAGGCAAATAGGGAGACAAGGGCCCAGAGTAGGCTTTCTCTAAATAATCAAAAGTTGACTGTAACTATACTATCTCACCAGCCCTTTTGTCTGCAGCTACTTGGCAGTGACCTTGTCTTATAATCCACGCAGGCTATGGCTACTCGGACGCGGATGTTCTTCACCAGTCCTTACTTGAAGCCAACATTGCTACTGAGGTTTGCCTTACGGCTCTCGACACACTCTCCCTATTTACATTGGCATTTAAGGTTCGTATGGAACAAACTAACTTTATGGAATGAGCTATGCATGATCAGATTTTACCTTTTAAGTTCATTCTGATTATTTAATTCAACCAGAAGGAGGAATTGACCGTGTTGTATTTTTACTTCACCAACTGCTTTTGCCCCTATAAAGAAGCTGTTAAATCTATAAATTTCTTTAATGAGATGGTTCCACAGTTACTGATTTGAATTCCCTGAAATAGAATGAAGCTTCACTGGTTACTTTGTGCTGCATGCTTGGAAATGATGGTCTCTGGAGGCAGTTTACTCTTCGCTATGAGACAGTATTTATCAGAGGAAACATTTCTTTGCTTACCTTTGAGGATGATAAATGAGGGCCTAATCTGGCATTTCTGAGTATAACATCTTTAAACATATGTACATATTATAGCAATTTAAATTAAATATTTATATATGGAGGGATGATAAGTACAAATATAATCTTTTTAAAAAATGTTCTGTTTCAAAAAAAAAAAGGAGGGAGGGAAGACCAGGTTTGCTTTTCTGACAGAGCCTGATGGGAACCACTGAGACTATGGCCCCTAGCTGCCCTTCAAGTCTGGAATTGAACCCACACCTGTGGCTTCCGGCCAAGCAAAAGACAGGCATATGAGTTGAACATGTACCTGAAGTAGATCCACTCCTTGGAGAGAACAATCATGGGAGAAAGAAGGGCTGTTTATGCACAGGAAGACAGCTTAGGGGGCAGGAGTGCATGGAGGGATGGACACAGGTGAAAAAGAAAAAAAGGTTTATAAATTAAATGGAAAGGAGTAAAAAGAAAATTTCAAGGATAGAAAATGGAGTACGTTTTGTCTTGATTTTTAGAAACTAATGTTCAAGTGGGTAGGGATGATTTTCCTCAGTCAGTCTTCAGGAACCTTATACTCACCATTCTTGCCAGATGATACCTTCCATTTCTAGGATACCAAAAAAAAAAAAAAACCCAGACTCACTGCCATCGAGCTGGTTCTGACTCATTGCGACCACCATTAGGTTTCCAAGGCTATAAATCTTTACAAAAGCAGACTGCCTCATCTTTCTTCCATGGAACAGCTGGTAGGTTCGAAGCACCGGCCTTTTGTTTAGCAGCCAGATGCCTTAACCACTATACCATTGGAGCTCCTTGTTTCTAGGGTAAACTCAGAAACCAAACTCACTGCCGTTGAGTTGATTACAACTCATAGCAACCCCTCCTTGGGTTTCTGAGGCAGTATCTCTACAAAAGTTGTTGTGGTGGTGTTATGTGCCATCGAGTCAGCCCTGACTCACAGCGACCCCTCCTTGGGCTTCCGAGGCAGTATTGCTACAGAAGTAGGATTGCCCAACCTTCCTTCCGAGGAGTGGCTGGTGGGTTTGAACCACCAGCCTTCTGGTTAGCAGTCAAGTGCCTTAGGCACTATGCTACCAGAGCTCCTTCTACAAAAGTAGATTGCCCAATTTTCCTTAAGAAGAAGAGTGGCTGGTGGGTTTGAACAGCCAGCCTTCTGGTTAGCAGTCAAGTGGCCTTAGGCACTATGCCACCAGAGTGCCTCATTTCCAGGGTTATAAGGGGGAAAATGAGTTAGTGTATTAGTATGTTTATTTGCAAGAATATTTTGGAAGACTACTAGCATTCTCTGCTTTACTTATCTCCACTCCTTATAAAGCACATTTTCTTTATTAGAGTGAAAATGGTTGTCCTGATATCATGTCACTTTAATATAAACCTCACCAAACCAAACCCATCAGGTCAATTCTGACTCATAGCAACGCTATAGGAAGAATAGAACTGCCCCAGAGGGTTTCCAAGGCTTTAAATCTTTACGAAAGCAGACTGTCCCATCTTTCTGCTATGGAGTGGCTGGTAGATTCAACCTGCCAGCCTTTTGGTTAGCATCCAAATGCTTTAACTATTGTGCCACTAAAGGGGAACCTTGCTTTAATATACCTTTATTCTTCTTCACAGCCATGCCACTACTGTCCCTATGAAATGTCACTAGGAACCTACTTGTCAGATAAGAAAGAAGATCTATGAGTATGGGGCACACAGTGTCTTATTACATGGCGCCTCTACTATAGTAGTTGTCAAAGTGTGGTCCCCAGCAGCAGTAGCAGCACGTGGGAACATGTTAGAAATGCAAATTCTCAGCCCCCACCCCAGACCTACGAATTCAGCAACTCTGTAGCTGAGACCTGGATGCTCTGGTTTGAGAACCACTGCTCCACTAGAACCATGCTTGGGAAACCTTTCTACTGTCTTCTAGATATTTTTCATTAAAAATTCTTATGTAAATAAACACTGATGTTTTTAAATATGAATATTTGGCCCTGTATGCCTGTATCACTGATGAGCATGAATCCTTAAGTTTAGAAGAGAAGTTGTAACTTTCTTCCACACTCTGCCTGTTCCCCAGTGTGTAAATAAGGAAACCCTGGGGTGATGAGCTGATATTGACACACAGCCACATTTAAGGCCTGGGAAGGACTGTGAGACAGTGACTGTTTCTTTGATGAGCAGCCTACAGATCCTACTTGCCTCCATTAGGTTCCTTGCATAATGTTAAAGAACAGTGTTTGTCAAGGCTCCTAGATATACAAGTGTTTGGTCACCAGATGGCTGTTAACTCCCAAGAAAGAAAACTGGTGCTTCCTGGGTGAAAGCTTATTTGACGTTTATTGTCTCAATGTCCATGGGAAAATTGCTTAATGTCTCTGCATCTAAGATTTCTCACTAATAAAACTGAAAAAAGTAGTATCTACCTCATAGAGCTGTTGTGAGTTTTAAATGAAATGACTTTAAATGAAATGACTGCCAGCTTGCTGATACATACCTACCAGCTTGCTGATACATACCAGGCTCTGATACACTTGGAAGACTGTGTGCATGGAAATACCATAGGTTTTCAATCCCAGCTCCTCACCTGGCCAGTTTTCCAGCCTTGGACTGGGTCTAGTTGACATCTCTAAGTCCCAATTTCCTTACCTAGAACATGTGATTATGCCTGCCTTATAAGGTTGCTGTGTGAATGGATTGATACAAAGTGTGCAAAAAATTTCTACCCTGTATCTGGCACAGAATCAGCATTCTGTTATCAACTCCAGTTTAACATTAAACACTTAATGGTGTGCGTGCCTCCCTAGTCCTATGAGACAGGGTCTAATCTCCTGGGACCAACAGGGAGCAATTACAAGCTTTAGAGCTGAGATGATCTTGTAATTTATGTGCCTTTGTGCAGAAGAGGAGCCCTAGTGGTTCAGTTGTTAGCTAAGTGGAAGGTTACCGGTTCAAACCCACCAGCTGCTCTGCAAGAAAAAGGTGTAGCAATCTTTGATTGATAGCCTGGAAACCATGTGGGGCAGTTCTGCTCTGTCCTACAGGGTTGCTCTGAGTTGGAATTGACTTGCTGGCAATGGGTTTTGTGTCTGTATACAAAAGTGTTTGCTGTGTAATGCTCAGCACCGCCATGAAGAAGTAGGAAGATGGGGAAGTATTATAGTGTGCTCTCTGTGGAGTTCAGGCCTGCCTAGTCGGTAGCCTTACCAGCCTAGATCCACAGCTGATGAGGCACACCAGCTCAGCCACCACTGGGACCTTTCTTTGCAAATATTTACTCAACTGAGACATCAGTTGGAGCTTACCAGAAAAATTATAGCATTAAGTTAGCTGGCATAATTCTGTTCATAAGAGTCAGCTTCCACAGTTATATCTCTATCATTACTGACTCTCTTAATTGACCACATCTAGAAAATTATCAGAGCAACTCATAATATAATTTATTAATAGGATACAATACTGGAAAAGATTTAAACCCTGAATATCCTCTTCTGGTTTTTACATAGGTTGTCCCTAGGTTACACACAAGATCTGTTCCTGTGTATTTCAGTCTTTCAGTGGTTTTTGTAGGGGGTCAGAACAGGTGTGCATATGGTTTTTGTTTTTTGTTGTAAAGGCTTATGTTAGTGTAAGAAAAGACTCAAAGACTTTTCAATGATTTAAAAGTCGCACATGCAGCAAATGAAGGTCATTGTGGTGAAGAATTTGTTGTCAGTAGGGGTGGGTTTGATGGTTTCACAGTGAGGGCAAATTTATATAACATACATGTTGGGCAAATAGGAGTTGTCTGTAAGTCAGACAGTCCTAACCCAAGGACTACCTGTTAGTGGTTTAAACCATTTGGCTGCTAACAGAAAGGTGGATGGTTCAAACCCACTAGCCACTCCTTGGAAGAAAGATGAGGCAGTCTTCTTTATAAAGATTTATAGCTTTGGAAACCTTATGGGACACTTCTTTTGTGTCCTGAAGGGACACCATCAGTCAGAATCATCTGAATGGCAGTGGGTTAGGTTTTATTTTTTTGTAGTTGTTTTTCTGTGCTTCAGGCAGTAATTTTAACAGCTAAAATCCTGCTTAGTATGTCTTATCCCCCATTTTACAGATGAGGAAAATTGAGGCTGAAATAGGTTAGGAAATCTGCCCAAGATCCCTATACAACTGACCTGTCCAAAGCCCTTGTTCTGCATTAAGCAGCTGGGGGGGGGGGCGCAATGTTTAGTTCACTTTAGTGAATACGAAGGTGGTTGAATGAGTAATCTCTCATTAAGAAAAACAAAATTATCAAGTACTTACTTATTAGGTACCAGGTACTGTGCTGGCTGCCGTCATGTAGGTTATTTAAATAATACATACATTATTTTGTAAACTTAAGGTAGTTACATGAAGAAAAATACAATTTTGTGGCTGTTTTACAATGTTTATTATTAACACAATTCCAAACCAATGCTAGCCTTTAAATATTTTATTCAACTTTTAATGTGGTCACTAATTTAATTTGAACATGTATTTGTAGCAATTTGTTTTAGTTCCTTTTCTGAATTTGATCTGTGTTGTGAACACTAATACATAATCAATAATGAATGGTATGAATTAAGAGGGTGGGGCACACATGGATAATTGGAGTGTCAGAGTCGTTGCTAGGCAGCACGTGATCTGGTTTGCAAAAGAAGGAACCCAGTCTGCAAAGACACATTAGGGTTAGGCCATCTTAGTGATGGGTGAACATCTGTGACTGAAATAGCTACTCACTAAACTGAATATTTATTTTTAAATAACTGTAAAGGAAAAAGAAATATCATATGGTTAGAGACTTAGCTATCTTATATAACATTGTTCCAAATAGCTAATTTGGGCACCCAAGCCTTAAATTTACTTTTTATGTGTTCCTGGATCTTTAACATACTGGTATATGGAGGGTTCATGGCCTAAAAGGTCCATTTCCTACGTTAAACCCTATAAGAGCCTGTGTTAAAACAGTCAAGCCTTCACACAATACTTGTTTTCCTGGGGTATTATTTGTAACCTCTTCTCCACATAACTGCTAGAAATAAATCATGCTTTCTATACTATTTTAATGTCTCATTCTATTTTCTGAATGAAATTTTCCTACCCTCAATAAGTCTCTATAGGAAAAAAGAGGAAATGAGATACATACACCATATGTTACCTGTGGTTACTTCTGAGAGGAAAGTTTAAGGATGATTTTCATTTTGCTTTTTTTTTACCCCTTGTAAGCCTTTCTGGTAGCATAGTACCTAAGGCACTTGACTGCTAACCAGAAAGCTGGTGGTTCAAACCCACCAGCCACTCCTTGGAAGGAAGACTGGGCAATCTACTTCTGTAGTGATACTGCCTTGGCAACCCAAGGAGGGGTCGCTATGAGTCGGGGCCGACTCGATGACACACAACAACAACAACAAGCCTTTCTGCAAGGAACCCTAGTAGCACAATGGTTAAAATGCTCAGCTGCTAACCAAAAGGTTGGCAGTTCAAACTCACTAGCTGTTCTGTGGGAGAAATGTATGACAATCTGCTTCCATAAAAGTTACAGCCTCAGAGATTCTGTGGGGCAGTTCTACTCTGTCCTATAGGGTCACCATGAGTTAGAATCGACTCAGTGGTAGTCGAGTAGGCCTTTCTGAATGTTCAAAGATTTTTCTTTATTGGGCAATGTACTTCCATAGTGATGCCACCTCAGAAACCCAAGGGAGTTCTCTATGAGTCAGGTCCCACTCCATGACACAACAACAACAGTGTTTATTACTATTCTGATTGAAAGAGAGAGAAAGGGAAGAAAATTGACTGGCAAATAAAGGAAGGCAGCAGGTAAAGTGGCGTGTGTCCAAAATGAATGGTCCATTCTGAAAAGGGTAAATTTTTAAGTAAGAGTGTATTTACAACTCATTGTGACTGAGTTTTCATTTCTTTAATTGTTGCAGGCAGGTTTTGAGATCAGAATCCTGGAGGACTACATGCTGAGAATGAGAAGGAGATGCCTTCACCAGAGAGGGTGCTAGGAAGGGAAAATTAACTCAGAGAACAGGAACATGAGTCGAGGGCCAATTCCAACAGCCAGAGTGAGGACTTGGCAGTTCTTGCATGAAGGCTCTCTTCTGGATGGCTCCAGCAAAGAGTGCTGAGAAAATAAAAGCCCACTTTCAGATTCACTCAAAACTTAATAATACTGTCGAGTTCACTCTGACTCATGGTGACCCCACAAGCATCAACGTAGAACTGTGCCTGTGCTATAGGATTTTCAGTGGCTCGTAGTGTAGAAATAAGTCACCAGGCCTTTCTTTCAAAGTGCTCCTGGCTACACTACAGGCTTCAACCCTTTGGTTAGCAGCTGAGCTTGTTAACTCTTGGCACTGCTCAGGGCCTTCCACCCAAACTTTAAACCAACCATATTTAGGAAAGTAAATGTGAGAGGCTCTGTCTTTCAATGTATGACTCCTGAGACAAGTAGTGTTTACACACAACGAAACATAAAAGCAGCTCCCAAAACACTAGAAACAACCTTTTTCATTTGTTTAGTGAACAGGTGCTTATGGTTGAGAATTACATTCATTTAATAAAAGCACATTTTCTGCTCTTAAAATTGCTTGTTTCACATGATGGAATTCAGTCCCTGACATCAGTACTTCATGATGTTTCATAAATACCACTGTGAATTCCAGATGTTCCAACCAGCTGTAAATACAGCTGAGAATCATTGGACTTTAAAAAAAAGAGTAAAAATTTTTCTCCAGCAATAAGATGAGGTAAATCTTGCTCCAACACTATTAACTATTACGCCAACTATAATTTGCTATTTAACAAAATTATTTGTACATAAACTTATGTTTCTTTGTTCTATTGGCCAAATTATAAAATTGCTTTGAGATGTCTTTTGACTTTTGACATTTTCTATTACAGTCATTTTTCCCTATTTGTTTAAAATGCTCTTGTGTACTTTCCCAAACACCCATTTTATTTAAGCAGGCTTGTCTTTATTTGAAGACAGGGCTCTTTAGTTTCAAGCTTGTGCAGACATGAAGGTACCATGCTGGCTTCTTTACTGTGCTACATGCTATCAACTGTGTATATATCCTGCAGTTAATGTGAATTTTTCACCAGCCAGGCATACACAGTGTTTAATTAGCGTGACTTATTACGGGAGTGAGGAAATCTTGAGGAGGGATCAGAAGCATTTTAATTATTCTCTTGTTATTTTCCTATAAAGTACAGTTCTTACAGTGTTCAAATAGTAGCAGCTGCCACTTACTGAGCTAGATCAACTATGTGTCAGACACTTTCTCTGTGCTTTTTCTCAAGTTGTTACCTCACAGGATCTGTGGAAGGTCTTGGTCCCCGTTTTGCGAATAAGAATGTTGAGACTCATAACCTGTTGCAAATTCATGCATTGTAGCCTGTCTGTTTCCCACCATACCACACTATCTGGTATTCATAGTCTAGCAGGGTGCCTTAGACAAAAGCAGCCTTTATCGTGCCTGTTTCATATACTTTATTTCAGTATTTTCCTCCACCCATTAATTTGCTAACACCTGTAATAGCATGTCTTCATTGGAATTAAGAAGATGCCACAAACATCACCTATGTATCAGTTGCTGGTGTACAGCAAAAAATAAATAGAAACTGTGTCAGTACTAAAGGACAGTGATACTTTATATTACAGTTTGCTGAGAAGTTTTATAATTAGTCCAATTATAATTTTATAATGGGAAAAAAATTAACTCCTTAAAGTACAGATTTTTTTAGAGATTTATTTGTACCACTTAAGAAAATTTTGTGCTTCCCTAGAGGATTCATGGCATGAAATGCACTGCTGTCAAGTTGGATCTGACTCATAATGACCCCTCCTTGGGTTTCCAAGGCTATATCACTATGGAAGTAGATTGCCCAGTCTTCCTTCCTAAGAGTGGCTGGTGGGTTTGAACCACCAGCCTTCTGGTTAGCAGTCAGATACCTTAGGCACTGAGTTGTCTTGGTGCATGAAATATTTACCCTTTGAACTTGAAAATGATAAAATCTATTAGAGGTGTCTGGTACATAACACTAACTAAGCTGTCAATGTGTGTTTTAAGAACCAGCTCCTGGCTGACCATGGACATAATCCTCTCATGAAAAAAGTTTTTGATGTTTATCTATGTTTTCTTCAAAAACATCAGTCTGAAACTGCTTTAAAGAATGTCTTCACTGCCTTAAGGTCATTAATTTATAAGGTAAGTTCTTTCATCAATGATCACAATAACTGGATCGTACAAACATTTAGAGTCTCTTTCCACCTGGCATTGAAAAGAAAGTTACCAAGTTAGTTACTAACCCTTATCTGGTTTATTTGCTTTCTCATCTTCCATCTAGTTTCCATCAACGTTTTATGAAGGGAGAGCAGACATGTGTTCTGCTCTGTGCTATGAGATTCTCAAATGCTGCAACTCCAAGCTGAGCTCCATCAGAACCGAGGCCTCCCAGCTGCTGTACTTCCTGATGAGGAATAACTTTGATTACACTGGAAAGAAATCCTTTGTGCGGACACATTTGCAAGTGCGTGGGGTTTAGCTTTCGTGATACACTCACAGGTTGTCTCAGATTCCTCAATTAAACCAAAAGGCCATTAGAAAAAGGCTACTGATAACTAACAGTGATTCCTCCCTGAATATCATGTCCTTCTGATCAAAGCCTAAACACATCAGCCCCTCCCAGGGTGTTACCACGTGGTAAGTAGCTTTTATAACTTGCAAAAAGAAGCGGACAGTACACCAGAACAAAATGCAGATGCATTTCTGAGCCAGTTCCCTCTATGACTTGAAAAGTTTGTCTGAGCTGAGATGACGAATCTTGTATGCATACCCCACTTTGTACTGTAGGTGAGGAACTCAAAGGGGACCCCACCTTCAGCTAATCCCCCAGCCAGATAGATTTAGTCAGTGGCCTAAAAAACTACTACACATGCTTCCACCTAGCAGCATAGCTGAGGGACCCTGAAAATTCCTCTCCCACCTATTCTTGTACCCAAAAGGCTACATGGCATGCTACATGGACCACACTGTAGATTTTCCCTCCTGTCCACTCTAGGAGGGGGAGTGGTTGGTTCTGAATCCTGTTTCCAGATGAGGAATTGGGGATTCCCAAATCATTTGCACATGTTTAAGTGTTGCTTGGCTGTTAAAAGAAAACAAGTCACCTTGATTGCTCAGGAATTCCAAGGAAAGGAGACAAAAAGTCAATTCTTGTTCTTTGCCCCACAGCTTTCTAGTACAAGTTCATTTATGTAATTATGTTTTAACAGGAAAATATTTGAGTATCACATTTACTAATATATCTCATAAAACTACCAAAACTGCTCCCAGGCTAGAAAACTCAAAAGCTGCATTTACTGGTTTGGTTTATTCCATCCTTCATATTGTCAGTCTGGGCCCAACATACATTTCTGTTGGTAAATTGCTGTTTAAATATTGAATCAATAATATTGGACTGACTAGAACTCCACGGAATCAGATATTAGATCTGTGTGAGAATGTCTAATAGTAAACGTCTTAGGTAAGAAGGAAAAAAACCTGCTCCCCACCAGGGGGATACACCATCTCTTCCATCTGCTGATACACCTGCCATCACTCCACATGGTGCTTCGTAGACCTGAAAAATGCAGATCCTGAT